CAAACCATCAACCAAATCCATGGTTTTTGGAGGAAGATGATGTATATAATGTCAAGAATGAAGATGAGAACCCGTTCAGTGCATACAGACCACAGAGGAGGCATCAGGTGGCGAACAGTGCATTCAATTAATGAGAGTCGGGCTTTAAACTTGACATACCAGGATTCAAGGTTTGTTTACAACATAAAGAATTTTGGATTGTGTTGTAGTAGAAAAGAATCCAATGAAATATTTTCGGACATAAAATCTTCATCATTAAGGTCACATATTAATTGGGATTTACTTCCAAAATATGATGATTATTTTAAGAAAGATGATGAAGTTCAGGAAAATGAGATCGTTGAAATCAATTTAGAAGATACAGGTAACGAAAAATTATTTAATGTTGAACAAAAAGGATCCAACTTCAAATAGTGTTGCCTAAACAATTGTTGAATGATAATATGATTGTGGATAAGATTCACAGTCACCAATTCATTCGAGATCACACTTTTACAATGGAGTTATTACAATTTATTGAAACAAATAAAGAAATGGGAACTCTTACGAATTTAGGTGGAATTGTGTCATTTGATATCTACAAAGAGAAAGAGAGTACGAAAGGATAATTTGCTCAAGACTTTGCAAATTTGAATTTCAAATATTGAGATTTGGGCTTCAATGAAGATGGGCTAAATTTACTAAAGAAAGTTGTTCCTTTCATTCTGGAGGATTGCTATTCAAAATTTAGGTTTGAGAAAATCAATCTTAAATACAAGGTGGATGCAAATAGGTGTCGAGTAAAAAATTATTTCAAGCAATGGAAACTCGAGGGTGAGTTTTTTCAAGCGGAGGAGAATGATGCAGATTAGAATTTAAAAATTACATATTTTATTTTGTTATTTTAGTACATAGTTATAATTGTTTTTTAAGGCTAAAATATTTAGTTTCCTGTTTATTTAGGTTGCCTATTTAGTTTATTTTTCTGTTTGACAAGAATTAATATTTTCCTTTTTTAATAGTCTTGACTAGCAATAATATATATTTTCCTTTCTTAATTTTCTTGATTAACAATAATTATTTTAGTATAAATAAATATATAAGCATAAGGACAAGCGGAATTGAGATTGGTATTTGATTAATAAAAATAGAAAATTTTCTCAATATAGTTCATTCTTAGAGAGAATATCTCTAGTTCAAATTTGTTCGCAGTTCGATTTCGTTGTTTGCTTTATCTTTCCGATACGCTTCCTTGCATCACTTATTGAGCTAGGCTCGTAAATTGTCCAGTTAGCCTGATCTGTCTAGGCCAAGCCTATTAGGTAGTGTTTGGGTTTAAAATTTGGTCCCCGACTCGACCAATCAAAGGAAATGCCCGTATGGAGCTTGGGCATAATTTTCACAGCTCAACTCGATACCAATTGCCATTATATTCGAGCATATATTCTATATAGTCACTACAAGAAAAAACACTTTTGGCGACTAAATTTTTAGTCGCCAAAAGTCCTTTTTAGTCGCCAAATGTCAAATTTTCACTTTCCCCGACAAAAACTTTTAGTCGCCGGTTTTGTCGCGAATACGTGGTCGCAAATACCTTTGGCAACTAAAAAACTGTTAGTCGGCAATATACAGGTCTTCAGCGACGAAAGAATTTGTCGCCAAATGCAATTCCATTTTTGGAAATTATACATTTCGCGACTAAACTTTTAGTCGCCAATACTGATTTTTTTTATTATTATTTAAACATTTGCCGACTAAATTTTCGTCGCCAAAAAGTATACTTTCGGCGACCATAGACTTTAGTCACCAATTCTCCATTTTTCAGGAAAAAAAAAAAAATTTGCCTCTGCTAGTCCTAAGTTTCGAACACGCAACGTCCCAACATTGCCAACCTTTACCAACACTTTCTCCCCACTACGCCACTATAACATCACATGAATATGAATGCAACATTTATTATTTATATACTATATTGACTCAACTATAAGCTATAAGCTATTAGGTTATAAGTTATAATCACTTTTCCACAGCTCTACCAAATGGGGCCAAAATCAATCAACTGGTTTCAGTGAAAGTGGGGATTGAGAATGTTGAATTATTGGTTGCCCGATTTGATCAATATGATTTGCGTTGGCCTTTCCATGTGACTCTCACCAATAGAGCTAACTTGGATTAAGCACTCTTCATATGATTAATGTCGTTGTGTTATTATTATTATTGTTATTTTGTTGTTGTGTTAGACACACTACAAGAAAATACATTTAGTCGCCAAAGGTCCTTTTTTAGTCGCCAAAGGTCGAATTTTCACTTTTCCCGACAAAAACTTTTAGTCGCCGGTTTTGTCGCGAATACATGGTCGCAAATACCTTTGGCGACTAAAAAACTGTTAGTCGGCAATATACAGATCTTCAGCGACGAAAGAATTTGTCGCCAAATGCAATTCCATTTTTGGAAATTATACATTTCGCGACTAAACTTTTAGTTGCCAATACTGATTTTTTTTATTATTATTTAAACATTTGCCGACTAAATTTTCGTCGCCAAAAAGTATACTTTCGGCGACCACAGACTTTAGTCACCAATTCTCCATTTTTCAGAAGAAAAAAAAAATTGCCTCTGCTAGTCCCAAGTTTCGAACCCGCAACGTTCCAACATTGTCAACCTTTACCAACACTCTCTCCCTACTACGTCACTACAACATTACATGAATATGAATGCAACATTTATTATTTATATACTATATTGACTAGTATTAATACAAAATTATATATATAAAAATAATTATTTTTATTTAATATATTTTATGTAAAAAATAAATTATTTACAAAAAAAATAGGATAGCACTTTTGGCGACTAAATCTAGATTTTAGTCGCCAATTCTCCATTTTTTGGCTACTAATTTGTTTTCTGTCGCTAAAAGAATTAAATCTCGCCTAAGGATAGCACTTTTGGCGACTAAACTGAATTTTAGTCGCCAAAACCTCTACTTTGGGTGGCTAAACTGCATTTTAGTCGGCAATTCTTGACCTTTAGTTACTATTTTTTTTTTGTAGCCAAAAAACTTTACTTTCAGCGACTAAACTATTTTTAGTCGGCAAAACACCTATAATCAGCGATCAAATTGCCGTTTAGTCGCCAAAACCATCACTTTTGGCTACTAAATCATTTTTAGTCGCCAAAAACAGTGACTTTTGGCTACTAAACAACCTTTAGTCGCTAAAACCCCTACATTCGGCGACTAAACTGCCTTTTAGTCGCTAATACCCTTATATTTGGCGACTAAACTCTTTTAGTCGGCAAAAGTGATCAATTTTGGCGACTAATTCCATTTTAGTCGCCAATTCTACTACTTTCAGCGACGAAAAATACAGTTTTAGTCGCCAAAAGTGCTTTTTGTTGTAGTGAGTGGTGGAAATTTATGACACGACACGATAACACGATTCGAATCGTACACGAAATTAGCGTTTTGGGGTTGACAATTTCTTAACACAAACATACATATAACATGACCCGATAACATGAATATTAAATAAGTTGGGTTAATATTAAATCTGTATAACACGAAACTGGCACGAATAACCCGTATAACAAACAGTTAGTTACATATTCTAATATTCTTTCCACTAAAGAGTATCATTTCATTTTTTAATCTATTACGTAATTACATCTAATTTATTAAAAAGTATATAAAATACGATTTTAAGTTTAATATAGGTTTTGTTTTGCTTTTAATTGAATTTAATGTTTTTTTTTATTATCTATTATTTGAGTTAATCTAATAAAAAAATATAATAATAAAATATAATTTTTATAAATTAAGAAAATTAAATTAAGTTAAAATTAAATATTTGGGTAAATTACACATTACACCCCTGCACTTTGTACTAAATTTCACTTTGTCTCATATACATGAAATCATGACAGTCAACCCCCTACATTTCTGGTCAAATCTCACTTTAGTCCTTACATATGAAATTGTAACAGTCAACCTCCTATATTTTTGGTCAAATCTTACTTTAGTCCCTACAAAAGTGTCAATGTCCTATTTCTATTACTTAATTGTTTAAATCTTTAACAAAATCTAATTATGTGATAAGAATGTAACTACAACACGAGGGTAAAAAAAGAAAATCATAAACATTTTTCACCAATACACATTTTGTCCTACAATTTATATCAAATTATGACTGTATTAAGGTAAAACAAAATACATATTGTGAATGATTAAGAAGATAAACTACAGTTTTATATAAATTGGAATCACGAAACTCTCATTTCGTAATTACATTTTGGTGACACGATTGGATTTTGTTAAAAATTTAAAAATGAAGTAACAGAATAGAGATATTGACACTTGCATAAATACTAAAGTGAGATTTGAGCAAAAGTACAGGGGGTTGACTATCATGGTTTCATATGTAAGGATCAAAGTGATATTTGACCAAAAGTGCAGGAGGTTGATTGTCATGATTTCCTGTGTAGGGACCAAAGTGAGATTTGATGCAATGTGTAATTTATTCTAAATAGTTTTATAAATATTTTCATTTAATGAAGATTAGTTTCATTAAATTTAACTTGTGAAGAAATTTTTAAACTTTTTTCATATATTTGATATTTTTAGTTAACAGTAAAATTTGTTGACATAACACGTTAATATGACGTGAACCAGATATGGATCGAAAATGACACGCTACGATAATACGAAATAATAAATGAGTAGAATTGATAATGAAATAATCATGACACGAATCCGAAATGACATAACACAAATACGATCTAATACGGCACGACACGATGCTCACCCCATGCCACATGGGCATAACAAGATGGTGTCTCAAAATTATTGTAATTGATATAGAAATAGTAGGTCCCTTCATATAGTAGGTCCGCCCTTTCATGTTGATGATTGAGAAGGCGACATGGGTCCATGATATTTTGTTATATTTATGTAGTTTTTCCTGTGTGTTGATCATCAGCTATTAAAATTGGATTTTTTTTTTTTTTTTTAATAATGATTACAGGCGAATAGGAGAGAAAGCAAACTTGGAATATATACCGAATGCAGGGCACCTTCTTCAACTAGAACGACCCTTTGCTTACAACAAACATCTCAAGAAAATTCTTGCATCCATCCATGGAGATGGGAAGCCCAAGCACCATTAATTAATTAATGAACTTATCACTTTCATTCTATCGTCATTCTTTTGTTCGTTCTAAAAGCCCAATACCATGTAGTTTAGATATGAGTTCAATTTGTTCTTTGGAATTCTTTCATTTTCAAACCTTGTGATCAGTGATCTTATATTATGCAATATAGACACGAGGTCTCACAGGCTTCTTAGTGCTTGGTAGTTGGTATTTGTAATATTTTTCAATTGATTCATGTCTTGTGGGATCTTTGAAACATGCATTATTTTTCTTGGGCTATGAAGTTTAATGTCTGGATTTAAGTATTAACTTGCGAATTTAATTTTTTGAAGATAATATGATCTAGTTATATGATTAGAAGTATTTAATTAATTTAATTTTTTTGAATAAATAAAAATCCAATTTACTCCCTGTCATGTAGCTCGATAGCATTGTATCTTTCTATCTTTTAAAAATAGTCATTATACCTCCTATATAGTTTTGGATTAAAATGAAACTTTAACTCTATTAATCTTAACAATATGTGGGATCTTTGAAACATGCATTATTTTTCTTGGGCTATGAAGTTTAATGTCTGGATTTAAGTATTAACTTGCGAATTTAATTTTTTGAAGATAATATGATCTAGTTATATGATTAGAAGTATTTAATTAATTTAATTTTTTTGAATAAATAAAAATCCAATTTACTCCCTGTCATGTAGCTCGATAGCATTGTATCTTTCAATCTTTTAAAAATAGTCATTATACCTCCTATATAATTTTGGATTAAAATGAAACTTTAACTCTATTAATCTTAACAATAAAAAGGCAATTATACTCTTTTACGTCTTCTTTTTCTATTTTGGCTCTTTTTTGTAAATAGATAAATAAATTTATCTCCATGACTAAGCAAAAAAAAAATAATAATAATAATAATTTAAAACATAACACAAAAATCATTTAAGAAACCAATGTTTTGCAACTATTTTTTTTAACAAACCTAATTTTTAATTTTAATTTTAATTTGATATTATACATGTATATATAATTAACACTGTGTACATATATGGATATTGTAATTATTTTTTTGGTTTAATTTGTGAAATATATATATATATATATATGTATATGTATATTGTGTGGGTAAAAATCTGACCACACTGTCTGCTTAGTGATCAACTGGAGAGCACAGGCAGAATAGATGGCTTCAGCAACCTGAAACAGAAAGAAAAGACTCCGGCGGTGGTTCTTCCACCCGGGGGCACTCCGACGATCAAGTCAGTATATCTCTCAGAGATAATCAAGTGCAAAACTTAATACTCAAAACATAAATTGCATACCTTAGACCCACGGGGGTGCCTCTCTTTTATAATATACTCAATCCAAGGAGCTGCCTTGATCTATTAGGATGCGTTTCACCTGGCACTCCCCAACTTGGAGGGATACTACCAAGGCATCATTATGCGCATGTTGGACCAATTCCAAGTCGGCTTCAGTAAAGGCTATCATCGGCCCTTGGCATTCTTCTGGCCGATGTCTCTTCTCCCCGACTTGGTAGATATGCTGTAAATGTCTTACCCTCTGGGTCTCTCCTCTGACTTCGTTTTCGTTGACCCTAGAGTGGATCACATTAACTACCCTTGGTCCTCCTGCTGGTGGTGACTTCAGTGGGTGCTCTGTTAGGTTCGACATTTCTTTTCTGAGTAATGGCTCAAAAACTGTTTAGCCGAGATAATCTTCTTCCAGCCGACGTGTTCTTTTCGGAGAACAAGGTTTCGATCGTACTTTCCCACGTGCATGAGCTGTCATGCATATCTAACCGTTCCTTTTCACGTGTTTTGTTTTCATTGGAGCGTGTCTGTGACGCGCCTGAAAGCTGTCTGTCATTCGTCTGCGCCGTCTGACGCGTGCGTTGCTCTAGGCGTAATAATTGCCCTAATTTTGCCGCCGTTTCAAATTTTTGACAAAACTCTTCTTTGCCTCTATTTTTCCTTCACTTTTTCATTCTGACTTCTTGCTCTTTCTCTCTCTGAAAGCTCTTTCCTCTTCGGATCTGCCATTGCTTCGATCTCCCTTCTGGAACTGTTCTTAATCTCCCATTCTTGCGAAGCTTTCTCCACTGTTGCGACCGATTTCTCGGTTCGGCGAACATTGCCTTGGCTTCATTTGTTCTGGTAAGACCCTTTCCTTTAATTCTTCTATTCTCTTTATGTGCTTTTACCATTACTGCTTTGTTGCTCGATTTCTCCCATACTTTGAACTCTTGTACTGTTTCAATATTTTTCTTGCCATAATTCTTGACCTTTATCCCTTTGTATTCTTCGTGTTTCTGATAGTCCATCTTTGTTCTTGAATCTGAAACTTCGTCTTTGTTTTCTCTTTTTTGTATCTGTCCCAGATCTGTGCCTTCGATCTTGATCTTTATAGTTCTTAGGTTTGGGATTTGTGCGTAGAACCTTCAAATTTAGGGAAAACTGAAACAAGCCTTATCAGCCCTTTCCTAGATCTTTGCCGAGGTTCTTGTAACCCTTCTTTAAAAACGCCAATCTTCTAAAACATATTTTAAGCTGACATAATGGGTATGTGGAGGCATAGGGTAAATACCCCAACAAAACTAGAATACTTTAGGCAGGAATTCTCTATCCCAGCCGATGTTCACCTTAAGCTAGCTGGGGATAGCGACACTATCATACCCACAGATCATACAATGCCTTTTCCTATAGTAGCTTTCACCGAATGTGGACTTCGGCTTCCACTTGATCCCCTGTTTCGCGAAGTTCTTCATTTCTACAAGCTGAACCCCATGCAACTTACTATCAATTCCTATAGGGTGATTAACGGTATCATAGCCCTAGCTAGGCAGGAAAACCTCAGAATCACCCTAGCCGACCTTCAATATTGTTATACCATGTGCCCTCTCGACCTGAAGGATAGGGGCTTCGTTTATTACCTTAAGCCGAGATCCACCCAGTTTAAAATTGTTGCCGACCTTCCAGACTCCAACAAGGGGGCTGGAGATGATTTTGTTATTGCGTCGGGAAATTGGGAATTTGGCCCAGACAAAGATGTCCACCTCTACCCTCTTCCTCGAACAATTTCAGAGGACAAGGGTAAGAGCCCTGAGCCAACACTTAGTTGTTTTTATTTAAGTCTTTAATACTTTCTGTTTCTGACGTCTGTTTGTTTTTTGTCCTGCAGATCTTCATCAGCCACCGAAAAACTTCCGCCAATCCTTTTTCCCAGGAACAGATCTAAAAAAACTCCTTGACCTTCCAGTCCACAAACGAAAAGCCCCACTGTTACTAAACTTTATCCCTACGTATAAATCCACTTTGCCCGACATCCCAAAAAGGAAAAAAAAGAGTTTGTCTCCACCTACTGCTACAACTTTAACCGCTTCTTCGTCCCGAACAGATCAAGGATCCACCTCTGACCCAGCCGATCTTCCATCAACTTCGGCCCCCTACTTAATACCAATTCCGGAGCGTAAACGTCGACGAAGACTTGTAAAGACTGCCAAGATGGTTCGTCCAAGGCCTGTCGTTCAAGATCTTCTTGCCGACCTTCCAACTGATGCCGAAGCTGTACCAACGCAATCAATGCTCCCACCAAAACCAAAGAGAGTAAAAAAGGCACAGCCCAAGGCCAAGGCTACAGATGCCGAGGCTGAGGATGCTTTGCCTATTTCTAAACTAGCAGAAAGAAAAAAATCAACCTCTGCTGCCACCAAGAGGTCTGCTGAGGGCCAACCCTCAGGGTCTACACAATCTAAGAGGCCAAGGTCATCGTCCACGACGACCTCGGCGTCAAAGAAGCCCGACGTTCCATGGGCTCCTGAACTAACTCTGGAGGATAGGCCTATCATGGCCAGTGAAAGTGCCGACGATATTAACGTTGGTGTCGCCCTCAGCACTGCTCTTCTTCTTCCAAATGATTTGGATCGAAATGCTAAGCTTAGCGAGTATGAGAATTACGCTCTTATGCTCCAACACTCCGTTCAAGTAAGTGTTCCTGTTTGCACTTGCGATTTTTCTTTCTGTTTCCTACTGAAAATATTTTCTGACACTTCTGTTTTCTTTCAGGCTATCTAACACGCCCATTCATTTTCAATGCAATCCTTTGAAAATCGTCAAAGGTTGGTTGATATGAAAAGAGAAGCATCTTCCATGAAGAAAGAGATCAAATCTCTTGAATCAAGGATGAAAAAATTGGAAGATCAGGCCGAGGCGGCTACTAAGGCCCAAACTTTAGCTCTTGAGAAGGCCGAATCCGCTGAGGCCGTTAAAAAAGTTGCTGA